CCTTTTCCAAAACATAATTTAGATAGAATAATACGGTTAAAATTGCTTTTTATCAATAGCACGTTCATCGAAAATATGAATCCTGCTTAATCGATTCGAAAAAGTAGTAATAAAGTGAAACTGATTGTTTTCGTTCGTAGGAGACACACATGAGATGAGTAAACCTGTGAGGATACAAATTACAAAAGCATTTTATATACAAAGTATTAGATTGAAAAAAAGTGAAAATATGCATACAATTAATTACGATTTCTGATGTAATTACACCATCTCAGTTTGGAACAATTTATGTAGTAGCTCCAAATTTACTTTATTTGCTGGAGTTTAGCTTTGTGGCAACTTCATGATTTCTAAACATGAGCAATTCAGGAAAATTATGAAAAATTAGGGTATCGCATTCGGATCTCGAGAAAAGTACTTATCATCAATGTGTATGATTAAAATCGATTAAGAAGTGATAATAAATTAAAATTGATTAGCAGGTAATAACAAATCAAAATAAATTAATAAGTAATAATAGATTGAAAAGAATTAACAGATAACAACCCAGTAAAAAATTCGAGCAATTAAAATTTATAAAAACTTCAAACTCCCATGGAAAATAATCGAAATCAATAATCCCTTTTTTGTGCAAAAAAAGAATCAAGGTTGTAATCGATTAAAATCTTGATTTTGTCTCACAAAGATCGAATTTTCAATTTCGATTAGACCCATCGGATTTTGAAATTTTAATCCTTAGAATTTTTCACTGGGTGACCGAGAAGAAATCTAACGTTAAACAAGGCACTGCTAACGTTTCTCATATAAGTAAGAGATCAGACTATCATTGTTTCGTTTATTCATAAGAGAGAAATTTCAAAATTTAATCGTAATACACTTGTATCTGTAAATATCCTTGTATATTGTTTCATTATAACAGAACGAAACACAAACGCAAGCAAAAAAAGGAGGGAGAACATAGAAAGAATAAAATACATGTGATGAATGGCGTATTCATAAACAATAACGACTTGTCTGATGAAAATGTGATGCTTCATTAATTCACATAAACAAATGTAAGTAGAAAAGAAAACAAGTAACTTCGTCAACGATTAATACAGAGTAAAATCGTTTGCAAGCATACAAAAAAAACCTCGCATACACCACTATCACTTATTAAGTGAGTATATTTAATTTTTTACATTACTAGACTAGCAATAAAACTAAAATTGTGTGTCAAGAGTAGCTGCAAAGACCGAAAAATGACGGAACATGAAAATGAGGCCTTTTAATTCCTAGAAAGCGATTTCAGGAACGTTCCGATTGAGGATGTTAAGCATATGCAATCAATAGTCTTGATTGATGTAACGTTTACACGTAAACTGGTATCACCACAAACCATGTCAAACAGAGTAACTTTTATAATGCTTATATTCCACCGAGAACTATGTTGATGAAACATACCAATCTCACTCTTGGGAAGCTAACAAATCAGCAAATGCAAGAACTTCTCCACAAATTGCCTAATTCGAGTTCGAATATAAATAAAGGTCTTCGAGCATAACGCCACTTCCAAAATAAATGAAAAAAAAATTCGAACCAGCACTAAATCTAGCAAATAGCCACAGTCAAAATTTTATTTGAATCATAAATTAGTTCTAATATTGGCTACTTTATATAAAAGTAGCTAAAAGAGCCAAAGCCATTATTCTATCTGAATTATAAATTATCTTTCAAGATTTTGGCTATTTTGTATAAAAGTTGCCAAAAAAGCCTAAGGCACAATTTTATTGCAATTATAAATTATAATTCGAATTTTTGACTATTTTATATCAGAGGAGCTAAAGAGAAGCCGCACGCAAGATTTTTATTGAAACAACATTTATAGTTCATGTAATGAGTTTTGTGAAAATCAGACAAAAAGATAGTAGCACATGAAGTTTAAAAGAATTATTGTGATAGTTTGAAGTTGGAAAGTGTATAATTCAGAACCTGCAACACGGCTATTTGTGTCAGTTTGGGTTATCCAATTACAGGATAACTAAAACAGAAGTATTCCAGGATTTATTTGCTCGATTGACATCTTTTCAACATAATAAATTGAAGATAGGTTTCGCTGTGTACATAGGGACTAGTATCGGTTGCGACTTCTTAGGAATCGCAACGCATCCCCACGTCGAGATGCTGAAATAAAAGGCTATCTATGCGAGCAAAGATCTTTCTGGACAATTGAGGGCTTGAATTACAAATATATGGAGAATTGAAAATCAGAGAAATTGAATTCAGCTCTGAATAATAACGCCTATGCGCTTTGTACAGTCGCCGTTTTGAATTACCAATACAAATCATGTTTTCCGAAGAGCTTAAGAAGAACCCAAAAGAGGGAAAGCACGATAGGTAAATTTTTACCAGATTGTAACTATAATTCAACTTGTAAGTTCCATGTAAATGAGGCACAGAGAAACTGGCACATGAAACCCAGGTAAATTATAATCGTAATTTGAAGTAAGAAGTGCAGTAATTGAGACTGCAATGCATTGATTTGAGTTCGTTTCAAGCATCTTATTGATGAATATCTGAGCTAGAAGTATTTCAGTATTGGTTTAATTAGTTAAAAATTTTTTCAGCATGGTAAATTGTAGATAGACTTCGCTGTATATACGGAGACGAGCATTGGTCACCGCTCTTCGTGGCGACGCTGACATAAAAGGTCAGTTACGCGGCTGAAAGCATACCTGCAAAAGTAAATATTGAAGGTCGACTTTTCACAAAAAGACTCCATATCTTGCACCGACAAGCATGGCAATTCGCGGAAAAATTGGCAAATTCCGTTTCCACACTACCACAAAAGTCTCTTACGCGGAGCGCCTAAATTTCAATCGCTATTCCATGAAACTTTTCCGTAAACATGTATAGAACTTAACTCCATAGGTTCTCCAAACCCTTATAAATGTCGCCTCCAGATGATTCTTCATTAATCACCAGTAGCTTCTGAGAAAATTTCACTGGAACCTGCGCACGATACTCTAGGAATCCCTAGACCATCTTTAAGAGATTCTCATGAGATGTTCGAAAATCCTCGGCGCCTCACAACATCCTAGTGGATCCTTAATTAATCTCAATCGGATCTTGTGGAAAACTCTTGATATTCTGGCAGAAATTGAACAGATCTCCTGAGATATTCTGCAAATTTTATATTTATTTTCACTTTTAATTTATGAGTAAATTAAGTTATCAGTAGTTTTAATTTAAAATGAAGTCAAAGTGTTTTTGTTCGTAATTTAAATTTAAAAATAATTAAAATTGTAGCCAACTTAATTTATTTAAATATAAATTATACAAAATTTAATCTATTTTATATCTAAATAATTTGCACTTAATTTATAGTTTATTTAATTATGAGTTAAATTAAATCACTCTATTTCTTTTTGATATTTTATTTCAGTGAGACGTACAACGAAAAAAATACTCGTAAAAAGCGCTCATGTAAACGCGCTCATAACGCCTTAGATTTTTGATTGGATATATATTCGTTCGAAAACTTCAAAGCGTTTTGAATACATAAAAATATATACTTTTCACGATTTTGTTTTCGATAAAATTCCACGCATTTTTATGCATTGTTTTTCCTATTCGTCTGATTGGGATAAAATATCAAAGAGAAATAGATTATTTGTATTTTGTGTATAACTTAATAAATTATAAATTAAATGCAAAGTATTTAAATTTCAAGTGAATTAAATTTTGAATAATTTGCTTAGGATTAACTGAAAGTTCTGATCACGATGTTTAGAATTTTATAAAATAGTTAATATCGAAAGTTTTATTATATGATATCATAGTAGAATACCTCGTCTACAATAATGTATATGTGTGAAAAAAACTCAAAACAAAAAATTTCCACACTACCAATGTGTGCCGTTGCAACTTCAAAACCATTATCAGATATCATCCAACCAAGACGGTTTATGGTTCAAAATTATTTGCTTATCTGGGTTGATGGTAATATTGATCAAGCGAATGAGGATTGTCAAAATACGCTCGTGCAATTGCGCAGTGTTGTCCACGAAGTTAATCTCTGTACGACGTCGGCACAATGCATTGAAGTTCTCGACGACATGGATGACGAAAAAGCTTTCGTTGTCTCTTCCGGAGCTTTAGGACAGCAGCTCGTGTCAGACATTCATGAGATGGCACAAGTAGATTCCATTTACATCTTTTGTGTCAACAAAGCACTACATGAACAATGGGCAAAAGAATGGTCGAAAATTCGAGGTATTTTTACTTCAATCCAGCCTATTTGTGAGTCGTTACAAAAGGTCGCCCGCGAATGTGATCACGATACAATTCCAATGAGCTTTGTTCCAAAGCAAATGATGATAGCAGCAACATCGAATGAACAAAATCTCGATCAATTGGAACCATCCTTCATGTATTCGTTATTATTCAAAGAGATTCTACTGGAAATTGATGAAGACGATGATAAGTGGATGGAAGACTTTGTTGTCTATTGTCGTAGCAAAAATATTCCTGGATCCCAATTGGAATACTTTCAGCGTGAATACCACCAGAAATCGCCAATATGGTGGTATAGTTGTGAAATGTTTCTCTACGGCATGCTTAATCGCGCCCTTCGGTCACTCGATATAGAGACCATGATAAAAATGGGCTTTTTCATTCGCAATATTCATCGACAATTGACACAACTGCATGAAGAACAATCGAGTGGGTATACGAAACTGTTTATCGTTTATCGTGGTCAAGGATTCACCCAACAGGATTTTCAACATCTACTGCATTCGAAAGGTGGACTTCTCTCGTTCAACAACTTCTTGTCTACTAGTACAGAAAAACACGTAGCCATGGAATTTGTTGAACGTGCATTGTACAAAAAGAAAGACACTGTGGGTGTTCTCTTCATTATGACAATCGATCAAAGTAAAGCTTTGGCTTCAAATACTCCGTTCGCGCTTATCGACGAATACAGTGCTATTAAAAGTGAAAAAGAAACTCTATTCTCAATGCATACTATTTTTCATGTTGGTGAAATCAAGCAGACAATCACCAGTAGTCGTCTCTGGGAAGTACAATTAACACTTACAGATGACAATGATCCACAATTGGCCGGTCTCACTCAACGCGTACGAGAAGAGATTGATGGCGTCGGATGGTATCGAATGGGTAAACTGATACTCAAAGTACGTCACTTCAATCAAGCTCAAGCACTCTACAATGAATTACTAAAGAACTCATCAAGTGACAGTGATAGAGCACATATCCATCATCAGCTTGGACGGGTGAAAAGTATGGAAGGACAATACAAAGAAGCAATTTCATTTTACGAAAAATTCCTCGAAATCAAAGGAAATATTGTATCTGAAGATTGTCCTTCATCAGCTCACATCTACCACGATATCGGTGAAGCGTATCACAACATGGGCGACTACTCGAAAGCAATTGAATTTTACGAAAAAGCATTTAAAATAAGAGAAGAATATCTGCCTCCAAATCATCCCGATTTGGCTAATTTATACACCAACATTGGTCTTACGTATAATAATCTGGGTAATTACTCGAAAGCACTCGAATATTACGAGAAAGCAAATAAAATCTACGAAATAGCTCTGCCTCCGAATCATCCCGATTTGGCTACTTTATACAGCAACATGGGTCTTACATATAATGACACGAGTAACTACTCGAAAGCACTTGAATATTACGAGAAAGCACTTAAAATAAGAGAAGAATCTGTGCCTCTGAGTCATGTCGACTTGGCTCAATCCTACAACAATATTGGAGAAGTGTATAACAAGATGGGTGACTACTCGAAAACATTTGAATTTTACGAAAAAGCACTTAAAATAAGAGAAGAATATTTGCCTCCAAATCATCCCGATTTGGCTCAATCCTACAACAATATTGGTGGCGTATATAACAACATGGATGACTACTCGAAAGCACTCGAATATTACGAGAAAGCAAATAAAATCTACGAAAAAGATCTATCTCCGAATCATTCCAGTTTAGCTACTTCATACAACAACATTGGTCTTATGTATAGCAAGATGGGTGACTATTCGAAAGCACTTGAGTTTTATGAGAAAGCACTTAATATAAGAGAAGAATATCTGCCTCCGAATCATCCCGATTTGGCTGAACTCTACAACAACATTGACGAAGTGTATAACAAGATGGATGACGACTCGAAAGCATTTGAACTTCATGAAAAAGCACATAAAATAGCCGAAACTGTCGTGCCTCCGAAACATTCAGATTTGGTTGATAGTGACTTGACTTTTTTTTAATATTGACGTTTATTATTCCTTGTAGGGTTAACAGACACTAATAAAATAAAGAATAAAAAGAGTAGCATCTAATCACTATATATTCATATAAACATATTATTGCAGATAAAAAAATGTCAATATATATGTTCTCTCATTCATTGAAAACAACATTAATTGTTTCGAAAATGGTATCAATTGTTGTATTTGTGCATGCTCAGACTGAACATTTTTGATATTTTTTCATCCACAATCACGATGACAGAAAAACGAATGAATGAAAAATTGATTCAGCAACTATAATGTATGATACATATCTTTAGTGATGGAGTACGATATGAGCAGCTTCTTTTGCTTGAATCACTTATTAACTAATAGCAATATATTGGGCAAGGAGAAACCGTTGTTCTGTTGTTGCTTCAATGAAAATTCAATCTAGTTCCTCTTGTTATTTCGTTCACATCATTAGCATGTCAATCACAGACAGCAGGAAAACAATTGAATTAACAATGTCTGTGTTGCTTTATTTCGTTCCTGTCAGAAAGAGAAAAATTTCGCTTTGAAAGAATCAAAGAAAAATAACAATGTATGAAACAAGATATCGAACGTAATGGCACTTAAGTCATTGTACAAATGAAAAGTAAATGAAAGTTGGAAAGAATAACAATAGAATAAATGACGTTTTTAAATTTTTTTTCTCTTTTGTTTACTTTTAACAAGCCTATTTTTAATTAAAACCAGGTAGAGTTTATCGTTGAGTGTCAACAAAAAATCAACCAAATTTCACGTCGTAGCAATATCTAGAAAAAAAATGAAAGGTAGCAACGACTATAGGGTATGAGTTTGTCTTTGCAGCTTCTCTTCACTCATACGCAAATTTCAAACATATCATTTGACGTAGATCTATATATCAGCTAGCGTAACTGAATTTCAAACTGATGTCTACTTAAATTTAACTTAAAGAAATTAAATGATATCTAACTGTGGTCCTTCCTCTACGTATAGTGTTATCGTTTGCCTTTTAAAAGATAAAAGCTACTAATACACTTCTTTGTCGTCAACCAAGATTTCACCTATGTTTGACTGTGTTTTCTATTAAATATTAGTTTTCATTAAACTAAGATTTTGCTTCCACTTCAATGTTCTATGTAACCTTGTACTCAAACTAAATGTTGGCAATCAATACAATGGTCTCACAATATTAATACAATTTATAGAGAGAACTTTGTTGTCTTTTTTTATTCGAAAGATACTGTTTAAAGTGCAGAAATGTTGCTCTCCTGTTCACTGCACTAAGAGATACCAAATATCCAGAAACTGAGAGGCGCACGATGTGCGAAAGTACCCATTATGATAGGTGCTGTTGTTAATCCTATATTCTCGGCTAAGATTTGCTGAGCCACTATTTTCATGGATATGTTGCACTGCTGGAAACATTGGTTCTAATTCTCGTCATTATTTCAATCAAGATTACTAAAAATGAGAGAATGATCATTCTTCGCTATCTCTTTTTTTCTATCTGAGATATGCAAACGTTGGTTGTTGCTTTTAGACGTTTATATTGAAAAGACTGAAATTACCAATCAGTAGTTGTTAAAACGTCAAGTCTGTCATACTGTGCCAAATATTCTTGCCAATGTTCTTATAATGCAAAACGGTATCTACTATCGAGAAAGTATAACTTTTGTAAATGTTCAATAGTTATCTATCTTGTGGATTGATTTTACGCCATACGTAGTCTTCTCGATCATCTTCTTGTCTAGAATTGTTTGTAGAGCTTCAAAGACTCCAATAGTTCATGAAGATCTTCTATTTAGAAGACAGTGTTCATGTTTCATTTAAAAACGATGTTTTGTTTTAGTTTCACTGATGTTAGTAAAGAACGTTGTAACTATAACTAAATGGTATTTCATACTATCTTTCAGTGTTTAGAAATTTTTCGTAAAAACGATGATAAATTTCGAACATGAATACTTTTTGTTTATTGTCATTGTTGGTTATGATGAAAACTTCTGTCGTAAAAACCTATGTTGATATCCTGTTGCCTTCAAATCTTAAACAAAACAACTGAATACAATGTCGTTCATGACTTTATTTTGTTAATTTCGGAATAATTATCGACTTCGTCTAGCTCTACTGATGTATCCGAATGGTAACATAAGCTGATTGAAAAATGAAGTCTGTCTGTTATGCAGATCAAAGATGCAAATAAGTCACTTACATCATCGTCCATGTAGTTTCCAACTAAAAAAATACTAGAATTTTAAACCTTCTTTATTCTAAGTGCAAGTTTCAGTAATATCTTTCTTTCATTTCTTACCAATATGTTCTCGACCACCATTATGACCATTTTTCAATATAAACATTTTTGCAATGTAAGAAAACTTCTAAAAAAATCTCTATTTACAGCATGACAAATCCTAAAATGTTCTTGCCACACCGAAAAAAGAAGAATGCTCTAGAAAACTGATTCTTGAATATTTGTTCGATTTTAATGATCTTTTGAACATGATCTTACAATGGAACCGTCTGTATTGTTAATCGAGTTGATCGACCATGTTCGCATCAAATGAAAGGTCTCACCGCCAAACTAATAAATTTAAAATATTACGTCCCCATAGCGTACCTAGAGCAAGTTACATAAATTTCAAGGTATGTGAAATTTAGGTATAAAAATGAATCAGTAAAGGCTTTCTCCACTAGTGTAAGGACAAAACATGCTGTTGTTCGGACCATATGAAAGAGAGCTCCTCCAAGCCCCTGATTGGCCCGAACAACAGCATGTTTTGTCCTTACACTAGTGGAGAAAGCCTTTACTGATTCATTTTTATACCTAAATTTCACATACCTTGAAATTTATGTAACTTGCTCTAGGTACGCTATGGGGACGTAATATTTTAAATTTATTAGTTTGGCGGTGAGACCTTTCATTTGACCCGAACATGGTCGATCAACTCGATTAACAATACAGACGGTTCCATTGTTAGTCATACTTAGTATATACATTTCAGCAAAGTAGATGGTTTTATAACAATAACTATGGACAGAAACTGAATGAATATAATGTAATGAACAGCATTAAATTGAATTTTAATGTATTTTTATTGATTCAAACTCGTCAACACAATAGTAGAACACACAGAGACAGTCACAAAAGCCTCTTGATGAGACGCTCACACATCAAAAGAGAGAAACAAAGGGAGAAAAAATGCGATATTACTTTTTTTTAGCAGTTCTTTGTTTACATATTCTACCTTCACATTTTCACTTACTGTGCAGGCACGAATGAAAGAAGAAAAAACATTGATGGCAACAATAATAAAACTGCATTAATGTATGTTTCTGCTTCGTTGACTCGCTCATTGTTAATGTACTTTTTTTGTTGATCTTTCTTGTTTGTCGTAGTTGCATTTTCAGAAGAAATCCAACAGAATCATGTAATCAACGCTACGGTCTACTTTTATTATTCGCGGAACAAACTTCTGTGTTTATGCAAAGACATGCGACATGCACTGCAATCATAGTGTTTTTTTACTCATGTCTTCAATATTATTGTCGATTTTAGTTAAAGGAAACGCCTACAATAATTTTCATTATTTGTTAGCTGAATGCAAGCACAGATAACTCTTCTTCACATATATACAAAACAGATATTCCATAATATGTTTTGCATCGAAATACATTTATTAGAAGCATAGTTCTAGTTATAAACGTATGCATAGGACAGGAGTTTTCTCGTTGCCATTGTTATACACCCTAAAATTGTGTACATCTCAATTGTGAACAAACGCTGTGTGAATAATATTTCTTTATGAATCATATAGAGATTAATGAAAGACCAATAGTTAGAATACTAAAATAAAACAAAGTTTCTCTTTATTAAACACATATTTTGAAGTAATATAAAATAAATCAAAAATCATTTTAACAAGATTGTGAATAATGATACATTCATTCTTCTAGTCTCACTCACACACCCTCAGGATGTTATTTACCTCATTGAGGGATGTATTCAGATACTCTAAGTTCTGAACTCATGGAATCCATGGAACTGAAGCAATCCTAAGAACTCAATAACCTATTGAAACTTAGGTAATAGATCAATGCTAGTGTTTCAAATGAAATTGATATCGTCACACATTGTTTATCCACAAATCGTAAACAACTGCAGTGTTGTCTTAAATATGAGTGTGGCTGTCAGTGTCAAAAGAACCGAAACCCACACCTACATCTTTCTGAAAATTCCTTAGGTTCCATGGATTCCAAGAGTTTCGTGAGTGAAACTGTACTATTGAGCGTTCCAGGAATTTAGAACCCACGGAATCTGACTACTGCTGCCAAGCAATGACTAATTTTATTCAGAATATTGGTTCGGATTTGAATTAGAACTATTAGGTTGACTAAAAAGTTCGCGGTCACTTGCAAAAAGGACCTAG